GCAAAATTACAGTTATGAAGTAACAACAAAAATAATTTTATGGTTGGGGTCACCACTGAGCTAGAGAGTTAGCTCTGTGGTAGAGCCTGTGGCCAGAAAATCCACCAGTGATGTCAGCCAACACATCTGTGGGTACCTATAACTATGAGGAAAACTAGACTATAAACTTCTAATCAAAACATTGATCCTAATAAGGAAAAAGAAGCAGTCCACAGTTATCCATTGTGATGTTCTCATTTCAATGACAGAGGCTTATAATTTTATAATAATGTAATTACACCCATTACAATGATGGATAATTCATGAAATAAAGTGCATGTTAACTTATCGAGGAACAGGCCCTGGACGGAGAGTAGAGGGGCCCACCACCACTGCCACCCTGCCATGCCTTGACCCCTCCGTTCCTGTGATTCTTGGACCATGTGCACACATCAGTCTCCATCTGGCTGTTGTTGATGTCCATTTCTGTACTTCACCATGTCGTCCTGCAGCTGCACCTCCATGCCAGCTAGACTGGAGCACTCATTCCTCGCTGCTGCTGGCCTCAGCTACTCCCCTCCTCTCTGGCCTGGGATAACGGATTGTGATTATGTTAAATGTCAGCTTACCACAAGCTAGAATCACCTGGGAAGGCAGTCTCAATGAGGGACTGTCTAAACCAGTTTGTCTGTGAGCATGACTGTGGAGATTGCCTTGATTGCCTTAACTGATGAGGGAAGAAGACCCAGCCTGAAAGTCGGGGGCACTATTCCCTCAGTTTGAGTCCTAGGCTGTATAAAAGTAGAGAATTCTACTAAGTAGAGAGTACTAAGCTTACGTGTATTCATCCCTCTCTGCTCTTGGCCCTGGACTAATAGCTGCTTCAAGTTCCTATCAACTGACTTCCCTGCTAGAAAATAGTTGTGAAACTGTAAGCTAAAATAAATTGCTCATGCCAGGCAGTGGTAGTAAGCACCTTTAGTCCCAGCACAGAGGCAGGTAGACTTCTGAGTTCAAGACTAGCCTGGCCTACCAAATGAGTTCCAGGCCACAGCTACACAGAGAAACCTCATCTCAAAAAACAAATAATAATAAAAGCAATACCGATAGTAATAATTATAATAATGTCCTCACAGCAGTAGAAATGGAACTGGAACAGGTTCCTGCAGCACGGGTCTTCATCGGTCCTCTGTACAGACATTGATTCAAGAATCAGGATGTAGCCCATGTCATCTTCATTTTATTCTCTCTATCCCATGATGCATCCCTCTGCTTCCAGGATGAGCTTCAAGGATCAAACCCTCTTGTGATTCTGTGCTGCTGCCCTTGCTGCCTGTCCCTCCTGCTGCCCCAGCTCCAGCTTCTCTGAGCACTGACAGCCAATGATTCTGAGAGGTCTAACCTGGATTCCTCTAGGTCTGCCAGAACAGGGGACGTTCACCCTTCAGCTTGAATGGCAAGTGGGGCTGCCCTCTAGGTCTTTTGTTCAGCAAATGCCTGTTTGCTGTATAATGGTGACTAACTATGCCTGTAAACCTTCCCTGTCTCCATCTCTCTACAGAGCCCCTGCCCTCAGATCCTTCATCCTCAGTACTCATTGGTCTGCTTGGCACTGTTGTCTGCCAAGACTGTAGGACTCAGTGATGTGATGCATACAGTTCACCCTGCTGCCTTGTGAGCAGAAGTGGGGCATGAGTGGGGGAAGACAGCACGGACTTGCATGTATCACCTCATCCAGGGCCTAGGCACTGACTACGTGTGGTCTACAGGCTACTCAGAGAAAGGAGCAGACGGCTGACTTATCTCCTGAAATAAGTGTACCTCTGTAGTGTGAGGTCTATGAGCTAGTGGGGTAGCTCTGTGGTGTGAAGTCTCTGACCCAGTGTACCTCTGTGCTGTGAGGTTTCTGAACTACTAGGGTATCTGTGTGGTTGTAGGTTTTGTAGCCAGGGGTGTTTTTCTGTAGTGTGAGGTCCCTGAGCAGCTGGTAAGAATCTAGCCAAGGAACAGATATCAGAGACATGAGGAAGAACGAATGTCCTGAGGTACCTGGAGGTGTTTCCTGCCCTCTCCCTGCAGGTGGCTTTCCTCCCAACGTTGTTTCAGATAGATATGGGACTATGGCCCAGCACTCCATCAACCCAAACCTAGGCCATTCTGAGGTCACACAATTTTACCAGAGGCATCCACAATAGATCTGCAAATGATAGTACATTCTCTACAGAAGCTGAGCATAAAGGGGCACCTACCAGATCAAACTGTCTGCCATATGAATTTCTTCTCAGCCTTCAGTCTCTGCTCCTCACAAGACAGTAATCTCTGAGCGACTCTCAGCAGTCTCATCTGCTGTAGAACAGCTGTTACAGAGCTCTTATATAATCCCATCCCATAGGAGCCTTGTGAACAGGATGGTGAGCTCTGTCAATCACTCATAGGGCATTTATCTGTCAAAGCTGCCCAGAAGGGTGCCTGTAAAACAGGGCACCCTTTAATCCCATCACTCAGATAGGTGGATCTCTGTGAGTTCAAGACCAGCCTGGTCTACCTAGTGAGTACCAGGACAGGGTTATATAGAGAGAATCTGTCTCACAAAACCAAAACAAAAATAACAAAAAAAAAAAAACAGAAAACAAAAGCTCCTGTTAACACTCCAAAATTGACCAAATATAAAACACACTCCAACCTAGTTGACCCATTTGAACAGTTAAATAAAGTCACATATATGTCACGTAGCCCAGTTATGTAGATATTTCCAAAAAGTAGTGATTTTGGTTACTTTATTTTAAAAACTATTTGTGTTTTAACTTTTCTGAAAACAATTTGCTAGTGAGCCCATGGGTCTGTTTGAGATGAGAGGAATCCACACTAGCTGTGCTTTTGGTTTTGAAGGAGTACATTTATTAAGTATACAGCAAGCAGGAATAAAAAACTAAAACAGTAAAAAGACAGGACATGAGATCAGACATAACATCCAGAAACCAACTGGGCAAGCTCCTGGAGCCAGAACAGTCAGCCAGAGCGTATGCTGTAGAAGAAGGGCCAGGAAGAATGTCTGCTCCTGGATGAGACTTCTAATTAGCCATCCACCACAGGCATTTCATGTTTGTCATGGGACAAACAGCAGAGCCTTGCTCTGGGTAGGTGCCTGGGAATGATTTACCTCCCAGCTGTGTTCAAGGACATGAGGTTTTTGCTCCAACAAGCTGCTCTCCTAGTCTCCAGGCCATGGCAGCCTCATGCTTCGGCTGGTTTCTGTTCTCCTTTGTACTTCTCACAGGGATGGATAGACAAGGGGCCTTTGGAGACATGCTGAGATAAACAGGCCTGAGTTTGAAATAGGACTGGGGGCAACTCAGCCTTCAGAACCAGCTCCTCAATGAGTTAAAGAGCATCAAACAATTTACTAATATATATTTCAAATATTCAGGGTTGAGAAAAGCGCTGTAATCTATCAGCAATAACTTAGGTTGTCGCATTGAAACACCCAAAGAAGTCCTTGGATCCATTCACTGGGATTGTGATATGATTCCTTAGAGATTCAGAGAATGAATGAGTGAATGAGTGAACGAGTGAACGAGCACAGAAGCTCTACCTTGCTAACTACAGACCTAAAGAAGGTTCAAGCCATATTTATCAAAGTGTCAAGTTCTGCTTCTGAGAAATGCAGCTTCCAAGGTCTCATCCACCTGGCATTCCATGTGCCAGTGAGAACACAAGACCACAGACACAGAAGCAAGTTCCTCACTGGTTTCTTCCAGATTATCCTAAAGTGCTCCTTCCCACCTTTGCTGGAAAGGGGGCGCTGCACTGATGCCTGCAAGCTTGGGTGCAGACTGCATGCAAGACAAACGCATGGGGAAACAGGGAAGTCAGGAGACCTCTGCAACTGCCAACATTGGTACAAGTGAGCCACACTGACTGTGTTCCTTGCTAAGGACAAACTCCCTTGCTCTTCCCCTCTCTATAAGCCACAGCATGAATAAGGCAGAAAACCATGGAGAAGGCCCTTCATTGTAGTACATGCCTTCAGTTCCAACACTAGAGGCAGAGGCAGGTGAATCTCTGAGTGTGTGGCCAGCCTGATCAACAAAGTTTCAGGACAGCCAGGGCTTCAAAGAGAAACCTTGTGGTGGGGGGTTAGTAGGGGGGAACCCTTTTAGAGAGTCTGGGTTCTGACACATGACCACTCTGGGTGGCAGCCCTGGCCTTTGGGAGTGTGCTCTCATTTGCCTTTGTAAAGAGAAATTTCTCGCCCCAGATGGTCCATAGAGAGTGTCCAAGTGCTAAGATCCAGACGGACATCCTAATGCTCAGCACTTTCTTCCCCAGTTCTGTTTGTTCCTTAAAGGATCGCCTAGGAAGTACCGTTAGTGAGAAACCATGACAACTACTCTTTGTTTTAGAAAAGACAGCCCTGCATTGCTACTGCAGCATCTGAGGTAGTGGGAGCTAGGATACCAACAGAGACTCTTAGTTTAAAAGGACACAACAGAAGAGGCAGGAAAGACAGGGAGCAGGAGCCTGGTGAGCATAGACTCCCAACGCCAGCATAGGCACTGCACAGGCTACTGTCTGTAGGGGAAGGAATTCTCATAGGGTAGAGAGCTCTGCACATGAATAGCTCTGCCTGCAGCTGACAGCCAAGGAGCTTGGTAGATAGCCTTTGCCATCTCCAAATACCAGGACTGGCCATAGTGACATTTGAGAGAAACACAGGGGTCTTGCTAACCTTCCATAGCAAGACTAGTAGGTGGAAAATAAGACTAGCAAAGGCACATGGGAGTGAACTTTACCCTGTAGCATAGCTTCCAGAGGCATCAGGCTGCCATGACAGGCACCTGCACGCTCTTGTTAGAAATGAAAGCAGGCTGGTGCATACATCTATAATTCCAGTGACTGTGAGGCTGTCAGAAGGATGGCCAAATCAAGGCTAGCCCAAATTACATAGCAAGGCTCTTTTTCAAACCAAATAGCTGACAGAGTCCAACAATTCTTAACCAGTGTCTTTTCTTTGCCTTCAGGTCCATATTGGCCAACTGTACTCAACTGACAAGCTTATCATTGAGAACCAAGAGAAGCCCAGGACATAGGAACCCAGCACTAGGAAGCAGTCTCCGCAGCAGAATTGACCACCTTCAGCATCCATTCTATATGGTGGAACCTCCCACTACTGAATGAAATAGCCTTTTGCTCTGCCTGCCTTGTAGGAGCTGATAAACTGAGTCACATTTGCATTCTGTCACAGCTGTTATGTGAAGAAATGGATGTGCATCCTCAGTTCAGGTGTTAGAATGAAGAGCTGGAGGTCACTCAGAGTAATGCTGTGTTACCGTGTCTCCTTGCCATCCCACCCCATCTTACAGATCACCCACATTTGTATAGAGCTTTTGCAGACTTGGTGTCTTGGTCCTTAACAGTAAACATAATTATTTCTCTATCCTTTTGTACCAAATAAACCCATTACAATGAATGTGCATTTATTTCCTGACACAGCAGGAATGATAGAAGCGGGAACTCAAAAGGAAGGTCCCACCATCAGCTGAAGATTGCAAGTGTAAGCACCAGTTCAGACACAGGTAATGAGGACATGGATCAAGATGAGGAGTATAAGGCACATCCAGCCACTCAAACCACAAACGCAGAGTCCCAAGCCCTCCGCATCCCATGCACACTGGAATCTTGGTTCTGGCAATCCCAAAGGAAAGTCATGCACACTGAAGTGTGCCATGTGTAATCCTGACACACCAGGGCACTGGGAATGCCTTATGAATGCACATTACCTATGCTGTTTAACACCCTAGTGTCAACAGAGAATGAAGAACACAAAGACAGAATGTTTAAAATACAGTCCTCGGGCTGGAGAGATGGCTCAGCCGTTAAAGGCTAGGCTCACAACCAAAAATATAAAATACAGTCCTCAAGGTTAGAGAGATGGCTTAGCACTTAAGAGTACATTTTAAAATTTAAAAGGTACGTTTTGCTCTTATAGAGGGCCCAGGTTTGATTCCCAACCACCTAGGTGCTCCCAACCACCTGTAATTCAAGTTCCAGGGATCTGATCCCCTCTAAAGGCTACTATGCACATGGTGCACATACATACATGCAGGCAAAACATACCCATAAAATCAATTAAACCTTAAATTTAAAAAATAATAAAATAAATAAAATACAGTTCTCCAGGTGACTCAGATGATCAGTCCATCAACCTTGACCACTACTTTTGAGCCCTTTCCCAGGTATTAAAGATGTCATATATTGTAGAGAATACATCCCTTCCAAACACAAAGCACATACCACATAATATCTTCCTTAATTTCTGGGGAGGTTCTAAGGACCTATCTCATGGGAAAACTTTCTTCTTGGTACTAAATAGACTGGACTCACATCAGAGCTGGGCCATGCATGTAAATACAACAGGCGCTATAGTGCCTAAGGCAGTGTGTCACGAATTCCTGTGGTATTCATGTGAATTAAGTACAAGCATTCTGTCAGCCTACCTTAAAAGTCATGGACATGGGGCTAGGGAGATGAGTCCATGCACAGTAAAGTACCACACAAGCCTGAGTTCAGATTCCCAGCACCAAGCTAACTTGGGGAGACCACCGTGCTAACCCTGGTGGCAGAGGAGCAGACAGATGAATCCTAAAAGCTCATTGGATAGCCCATCTAACCAAATTGTTCCAGCGTCAGTAAGAGACCTTGCATCCAAACTTGAGGTGGAGAATGATTGAGGAAGACATCCAGTGACAACCTCTGGCCTCCACATGCATGCACACATACGTATGTGTGCCCACATGAACATCTACACATGCTCACAGCACACACACATAAAGTAGGAGTGAGCCAGGTATGGGGTTGCACATATGTGATCCTTGGCACTTGAAGGCTGAAGCAGGAGCTTGAGTTTGAGACTAGTTTTGGCTACATACAAATTCTAAGCCAGCCCACAATACATGGGCCTGTCACAGGTGTTCACCCTATCATCTGTACAGTGTAGACTCTGTCATGACATGCTCAGCCATTCTATTTTACAGTTCAACTTTCTTAATTTCTTAAAACTAGTGTGCAACATAATGAGTTTTGTCTTAACCAGTGTTCTATTGCTGTGAAAAGACACCATGACCACAACTCTTACAAAGGAAAGCATTCAGTTGGAGCTGGCCTACAGTTCCAGAGGCTTAGTTCATTGTCCCCATGGTGAGGAGCATAGCAGCACACAGGCAGACACGGTGCTGGAGAAGTAATTGAGAGCTCTACATCTGGATCCACAGGCACCAGCAGAAGAGATGCTGGTACCAGCTTGGGCTTCTGAAACCCAAAAGCCCACCCCCAGTGACACACTTCCTCCAACAAGGCCACACCTAATCCCTCACAAGTAGTGCCACTGCCTGATGACCAAGCATTCAAATACATGAGGCTATGGGGGCCATTCTTACTAAAGCACTGCAGGTTTCATTTGGGAATTCTCATGCCTGTGTGACAGGCTTTGTCCTCACTCATCCAGCAGCGCAACTCTTAGTCTCAGAATGAAGTCTCGTACACCCGTGAAGTGTGTACACACTCTTCACACACTAGTGAAGATTGTTGGAAATCATGAATCTCATACCACTGGATCCATTCCTGGGAGCTGAGGTATTCGAGAAACAGGTGGCCTGAGTGACAAGCAGGGCATCTGGGACTCGGGGAGCAGTGTCACCCAGCCCTAGTGGAGGTCGTCCTTGCTGCTGTTTACACTGAGCATCAGAGATTAAGTGGTCACTCACCATCCTACATCAATGCTGTGAACAGCGCTCCCAATTTAAAGTTATTTTTAAGTACCTGTTATGTGCACCCTAAGTAGTCCCCCTGAAAGTGTCACATTGTTAGCAGAAAGGCAGCTCCATGGGAGACTTCCCCACAGGATGGCTTCCACAGACAATCATGGAGTAAACTTGGCTTGTTCTGCAAGCTGTTGACAGCTGGCTGCCTTTGTGTTCATTAAACCTCATAAATGAGTTTGGACATGCCCAGGGCTTGATAAAGCAGAGCTAATTCTTGTCACTTAGATCAAATTAACTGTATTTGGAATTTGCACAAAAAAAACGAAGGAGACTTAAACAGCCCACCATCAGGAGTTAGCTGAGCAGAGCCTCATACCGGGTGTTCCCCAAATGCCGAGGACTGTTGAGGTTTGGTCTTTTGCTATCTACTGTAATGCTAAGTGTGGGCCCCCAAGACCTGGTTGTCCCAGAGATGAGAGTCCACAGTCTACATACACACCTTGGCAACAAGTTATTTCTGATTGGTAAATAAAGCTGCCAACAGCCAATAGCTGGGCAGGAGAGACATAGGTGGGATTTAGGTTTCCCAGGCTTGGGAGTCAGAGGAGGACCAGGAGGGGAAGAGAGGAGGAGGAGTGAGAAACTGTCACAGGTTAGGAGTCGAGAGAAAGTGGCTCTGAGGACTGGCCAATGGGAGTTAAGAGCAGCCCAGATCAAACATAGTAAGTAATAACTCGGGGTTATCTATAAGAAAGTAGATTCTAACAGCATAGAGGGTAGGCAGCTGCCTAGCTTTTGTTTAAGGCTTATTGTAAATATAAAGGTTGTGTTTTTTATCTGGGAACTAAATGATTAAAGATGAGGTAGAAACCTCAGGTCAGTCTTGGGCCAGGCAATGTGATGGTGAAGCTGTACCACTGGACCAGACGGTCTCAACTCTGCTCTGAAAGTGCTAGGGGTCACTGGGTCAGCAACTGGCAGATGAGAAATGCCACCAGAAGTTCACTTCTGTGGAGGCAAAAACCACTTGCCAGGCAGCCTTTTCTTAGACCTTCAGATGGCATTGGATGGCCTATCTGATCCTCTAGCTCTGGTTCTAGAGCAACAGTATGTAGCCAAGTGTGTATCTATGTAGCTTTTATGGCCCTTGTGCTCTGGGTGGTGAAGCTAAGAGAGCATCTTCAGCCTGTGACATAGATTGATTTACATACATGCTGTCCTGCAGCAGTCACCTTCAGCTGTGCCCTTTATAGCCACACCCAACACTGAAAGCCTCTCATTTCCAAAGAGTGGAAACATTGCTCTTACTTTCCCCAGTGCTGTACACACCCCTGTGTATGCTGGGGAAGCGCTCTGGCTTGTGTCGTGTCATAAAACAGTTTGAAAATCCTTCATAGAGACAGTTGACCTGAAGCTCGGTAGAACAGATATACACCTGTAGGAAGGCCCCCCCCCCCCAACTCATTTTCAACATTTCGGGGGGGGGGGGGGGCAGGTTTGAGGTTCGCTGTGGTGGTAGTAGTGATGGTGGGGTTTTTTGTTTTGGTAGAAGTGAAAGGTGAAGCTACATGTCCTGGTGCTAAGGAGCACAGAGTAAAACCTCAGGTTTTAAGAAAATTCAAACTCACATTTTTGTGACTAAGTGAGCTGCTTTTTCATTGTTGAGCACAGTCTGCCCTCCATAGCACAAGGTTGAACACACATGGATTCAACTAACCACAGAACAAAAACACTTGGAAAGCAGGTACAAGCTTTTTATTGCTGCTGTTACTAACAATACGGTATAACAATTACTTGCACCCACTTAGAGTGGTGTAGGTAGTATAAAAATGATTTGAAACCTTGAGAGAAATCTATGAGTTCTATGCAAATACAACCCCTTCTTGTGTAAGAAATGAGCATCGCAGACTCTGAGCTCCACGGGAGCTCCTAGAATCAGTCCCCTGCAGATGCCAAGGGACCATTGGACATCCTAGCAACTGTCATTACGTTCTCGATTAAAGGACACCTTAGGTATTGGGCCCAGCCTATAAAAACAACAAAAGCCAATGAAGAAATAAGGCCTTCAAAAGCAGAAGGAGACATGTCTTACACTCAAGATAATATGCTCTGAATTTGGGAGCTCCCTTTGGGAGAATTTAAACTCACAGACAAAGAGGTCCTTGAGAAATATCAACTGAAACCAGATGACCCTACACACAGATACTCAGCACTGGAGATGAATGTTGGGGTCCTGGGCAAGTGCTCTCTTGCTGAACCATATCCAAGCCCAACTATGACAAGACAAGCATTACCTCTGTATGAGGGAAATTTGTGAACGTCTACTTAAACCAGCCACCAAAGTACAGGTCAAAAGTCACATGGAGTAGGTGGGTCATTATAAGCACATCTAGTAAGGTCACATGATGAATCTGGCAAATCTTATTTAGATACACAGTATTTAAAAAAAAAAAAAACCACAGGGGCAGCCAACTGGAAGTCCTCCATACATCCTGTGTCCACATGCCTGGCTGCTAACCTAGCATTTACCAGTTGTTATAAAATGAACTTGGTAGTGGAGACCAACAAACCTCTCTCCCTACTCCTCTCTGAAAGTTTACCTAGAGTCATCTATATGGACAGTGGCTCACCCCCCCCCTCCACTCCCAAAAACAGTAAGATCTTTTTTTTCCATTTTTGCAGTGCTTTATAGCTTAATTTGTACTTCAGG